TTCATTCTCAATTTTTTATTTTTCACTCCAAATATATATATTTAAAATTTTCTTAATAATAAATGACTTAACGTATTCTACATCACTATCATAAAAAGATCCGAATATCTATAAATTATCTACTTTTTTCATATGAGAGTATACACGGGTGGAGTTTCAACTGAGCTAGATAAACCGACACAATAGTACCAACAAGCATCAATTGTGGTGACCAAATAAAAAAATTTATTGTATTCCCAAACCTTCTTTGTAGGAACATACTTGATTTTACTATAGGCATGAGTGATAAGCGGAGGATCCACCCTTATTTTAATGTGGATATGTGTTCAATTTTTAAATTTGAATTTGTTCGATTAATTATTTATTTATTATGTGCTATAGTCCATCTTAAAATTTTATTTATGTTAACATCGTATAAATATTTTATATTATTAATGAATGTGTAATCATCCTAAAAATATATTTAAATCCGTAGCAATGAACAATTGTTTCATGGACCGTAAGGGTGGCAAGTCATCATCCATTATTGTAAAGGAAATATCATATGACTATGAATTCAAATATTTGTTAGCAATGTAATCGATTTCCCCTAAAAATTTGTTAGAATTTTTATAATATAATATTTTCTCTTATAGCTTTTAAATGGTAATTGTTTAAAAAAATATAATATGCATAGTTATATTTTTTTAAATTTTAGGATCACGACTGGTAAACTTTGTAAATGATGAAGATAATTTTACTGTTTTATTTAAATTTAAGATCAAATTAATAAAATATATAAATATTAAGAGTTAAATATAGATAATATCAATTAAAACCAGGTCGCCGAGAGAATAATCAAGCACCTACAACATAAATATCAACGCAACGCCAATAGAACCCCATTTAACCTCATCTAGCCATATGGATCCAAACCAAGATGAAAACAAACCACCACAGACCTACAGAAACACCAACCCAAAACAGAAATCATTAAACCAGAAATGAAACAACCAAATACCAAAAGGTAATAAATTAAAAGGAGTGGAGATCTGAAGTTGATATAATATCCAACCACCTTACAATTCAGTCATCCAATTTTTAGGAAGCTATCAATTTAGTCACTATAATACTCTTTGGGTTCAGGGAGCTTTGGCGATATCAATCCCATATTGAATTGGAAATTTGTTGGGAAGTGAAGCAATAGTTTGAAATCGGCATGTTCTGATGATTGATTTGAGGTTAGAAAGAGGAATCTAAAAGGTCATAGACCAAATTTGTGAAGTTAGAGGTTTTTTTTGATGAAACAGACACAAAATTCGCGCTCAACTGATCAAAAAAAGGATAGAGTAAAAATTTTAGTCCAACAATTACTGACAATGGCACCTGACGATGGTAAGTGACAACTGACGACATGATATTCTAATTGAATTTTCGACTTGAGAAAGCTTTTAATTTTTTTAAGATGAAAAATGTTTGAAATATAAGTTCATGGTTAAATTGATAATTTCTATAGAAATTAAGAATTAAATTAGAAATTAACTATTTTTTAATATGACATATCATTAAAATAACGATAATTTATTATCCATTGATTGGATTATAACAAATGGATAACATAAGTGGCTGAAATATAACCTTAAAATTTTGATTATTAAAATTAAATAAAATTGAAAGAAAAACAGCAAGTACGATAGTTTATCTTAATTGTAAATATACAAGAAGCCTATGGAGCGGTAGCTTAATTTAAGGTTAAAAAACGATAATTTTGGAGTGCAATTAAAAATATGATAAAAATTATAATATTTTAGTTTGAACACAACCTAAAATATTATATTTTTCCTAACATTTGCGGTTGAACGGATAATGTTACATTTTTGTTAACATTTTCCGTAGACAACCGGAAATGTTACACTTTTCGTAACATTTTAGGTTTAACCAAAAATATTAGTAAAAAAATAATATTTTCTTTTGCTCTTAACCTAAAATATTATTATTTTTATTATATTCTCGATTGGCACCTTAAAATTATTGTTTTTTATATTAAATTAGATTGTAGCATAATAAAACTATCCTTTAAATATAATGTATAAAATTAGATGGCTCGTATTTTAAGGCAAGTACAGTAAGTAGATAAAGAATTTTCCAGAACTTACATCATAATATCCTGACAACTTTTAATTGTATTTATTATATTTGGTTTGTAATTTAAGACTTCCCTATTCTTTTTTTTTTAAATATACATTTTAAAAGGGAAGAAAGTATAGATTATATTGGGATCAAAATTGATATCGATATTAAATGAAAGCTTGAATAAATTAATTGTCGTGGTTTAATATATAATATAATAGATTGATATTTTATCTAGTATGATAAAATATCAAAATTTTTAAGTAATGTCATGTTTCGAATTATGTTATTGTGAATTAGAAAAACTAAGTTGGAAGAGTCATCTCATGATAGACTTATACAAATGCAATACTTAATATGTATTAATCGACTAATGAATTAAATATCAATAATTGAATTAAAATAATAATAAATTCTTTATATTTTAGTATATCGTAAAGGAATATAGCATTGTCCTATAATGCAATATGTGAGGATTACATAGTGTGAATGGCGCAACTTAAAAATGTATTATAACCCTTAAAGATATGTTAATGAGTATGAGTGCTCATTCTACTTTACTCGAGTTCTTATGATAATAAATATTAAAGACAACGACTTATATTTTAAATGAAGTGCTCACTAAAATCCTGTAAAAACACCTTATGAATTTTGGAAATGTCAGAAAGCCTAATTTAGAGGCTAATTAAGGTAAGCCCTTATATACTACATAAAAAGAAAGTGGACTTTAAAATAGTAATCAACTATTTTTAGACGAAAAATGTAAATCAGAGCTACAATAGGGGTTTAACTACCGAAAGATTATTGGTAAGCGTAAATTAGAGCCAAGTAACGTGATAAATTATATAAGAATGCGAGTTGCATATTTAAATCTAATTTGAGAGTCCAAAACAAGTAAAATTAGGGAATAACAAATGAGCGTTATCTTGATCAGTCGTAGTGACGTAAAATCCAATCATAAGAAAAAATGATAAGAAAAGTCAAACGATTGAAAAACGTGCCAAAAATATAAGAAATGTATCACAAAAGCATAATTATTATAAAGAAATAAGAGAGGGAAAAATAAAAATTCTAACAACGACAATCAACACTAAAACGGATGTCGTCATCTACTAATCATAGACGAAAAAATAGATATATAAAATTAAGTGAGATACGAAGAATAATGTACAGAAAATAAACGAATTCCGTAATTAAAGGATATACATAAAAATAAGAGATTGAATGGTGGCATATTTCATATTTATATTAATTGTAATATGCTATTAAAGTATTTAACGATGGTAACTGAAATGGGTAAGCTTGATATAATCCTAAAAATTAAATAGTTTAATTATAAAAATAATTTTAATACTTAAATTGATAACACCCTATAAATTATATTATAATCTCCAGACTCTATAATTTTTTATTCACACTTGGTCTATGTATGTGTATGTATGTATGATTAACATGATATTTAACTTGAAGTCCATTCAAAATATTTAACTCTAAGTCTATTTTAACTTGAATTAACATGATGTTTAATTGTTTTAGATTTAAACCGTTTTGACTTGAGTTATCATCGATTCAAATTGAAATTAATCTAGTTCGAACTAGAATTGAATTTGATTTTAATTAACTTAAAAATAATCCAAACCTAATTTAATCTAAATCTAACTATAAAATTATTCTGATATAACTTATATTAAATTTTATATAACTTGACATAATCCGACTGAAATATTAACGAATATCTCATTTCACAATGGTCAGATTTATACAGGTGTACACAAAAGCAACGATGCTCCCGCTTTCGTCATGTCGCCATCAAACTTCTGTCCAGCAGCCAACAGCACCTACTACCTACAACAATTATTCACCAAATGAAATTATTGGGCTCAATTCGGAAAAAATGTCATTTGAAAAAAATAAGAGAAGAATTTGAAGATGATAAAGATTTAATTTGAGAAATAAAAAAGTTATTATAATAATTGATAGAATTATTGACAAATAAGTATATTTTTAATAAATTTATTGACAATAGTCAATGATTTTAGATTTTATCTTTTTGTATTTTGATATCATATTGTATACAAATAAAAATAAAGAATTAAAATAAAATTTATTCATAAATCAACTTTAGGTGTTTTCATGGAATTTATCATTTTATTTTACTATAATATTTTTCTGAATTTTAATTTTAATTCTTGAGTTTTCTTTCAATTTAATATTAAAATGTAAAAAGAAAAAAAGATTGACTTTATATATCACGGTAGAAATATACATATTTCTTTAATTAAACATATACCATATTAGAATCTCTATTTTTTTAATCAAACATCTTTTAAAAAGTAAATATTTAAAAAATTAATTATTATCGAAATAATATTTTTATGTTAAATAATTTTTTTTGTATTATACTGACGATATATAATTTTATATATTGTTAATAAATTATAGTATTGTATGTTATCATAAAATTTAAAATTATATTGATCTTAAAGTTATATTATTACATCGTCAATATATCATATATTCACTTTAAATAAATTATTAATATTTATTTTTATAAGGATAATTCATAAAGAAATCTAAAAATATTATTTAAATTTTAAAATAGTTTTAATTTAAAAAATGTTAATTAAATATTTAAAATAGCAATATTATAACATGAGCACTAGTTTGAGTAGTTGGATGAAACGAAACCTTTAGGACAAAGTTCTGACAAGTTCGCCATCAATACATTAAATGCATTTTAATTTTAGTGAATACTCGGCGAAACGGATTTGAACACTCAAATGTGTGCTGACTTAAATTTCGACGTGATTTATTTATTGCATCGAATCCACTACCGACAAATATTATCCTTTGCCGTGCAAGTGCAGGTAGTAAATTATTATACGATCTTTCTTTCCAGATTATGTTGAGTGTAGTAGCGAAACAAACATTTGCTCAAAAGGAAACAAAAGTTGCCTTAAAATGGACAAGGACAAGCCGCTGCTACTGGTGCAGGAGGAAGATGATCGGAGAACAAGGGGAACAACTACGTTTGTGAAGGAGCTGAAGAAAGTGAGTTACATGGCGGCGCCGATGGTGGCGGTGTCGGTGTCTCAGTATCTTTTGCAGGTCATATCGCTGATGATGGTGGGTCACGTCGGCGAGCTTGCTCTTTCTGGGGTTGCTATTGCCACTTCCTTCACTAATGTCACCGGCTTCAGTTTACTCGTAATGCTCCTGCTTCTCTAACTTATTTTCCCTTTTTTTTTGTTTTTTTTTTTGTAAATTGATGGTTTAACAATATATTTTGATTCTAAGCAGTTTGGAATGGCTGGTGCATTGGAAACACTAGGAGGTCAAGCTTATGGTGCCGAGCAATATCAAAAACTTGGAACCTACAGTTACTGTTCGATATTATCTCTTGTATCAGTTTGCTTCCCGGTGTCGTTCATCTGGATATTTATGGACAAACTATTAACATTGATGGGTCAAGACCCTCGAATCGCTGAGGTAGCCAGCATTTACTCAATCTGGCTCATCCCAGCATTGTTCGGTGATGCTGTTCTTCAGTCGCTGGTTCGCTATTTCCAGTCCCAGAGCAAAATCCTTCCTTTGTTTTTGACTTCTTGTGCAAGTATGTGTCTCCATGTACCTCTCTGTTGGGCTCTAGTATACAAGACGAATCTGGGTTATATAGGCGCCGCCATAGCAATCACTGTTGCCTTGTGGTTTAACGTCATCTTGCTGGCGGCTTACATGAGATGGTCTGCTAATTGCGCCCCGACTCGGACCCTTGTTCTCGGTGACGTTTTTGTGAGCATAAAGGAGTTTTTAAGCTTTGCACTACCTTCTGCTGTGATGGTTTGGTGAGTTCGAGCTTCGTTAATTATTCATTCTTAGTTCAATCAAATCATTTTTTGAACTAATGTATGTTTCGTTCCCATGATCAGCCTTGAATGGTGGTCGTTTGAGCTTCTCGTGCTCCTGTCCGGACTATTACCGAATTCGGAACTCGAAACATCGGTCCTTTCTATATGGTATGCTTCTAATTTTCATCTTCAAAGTTCAGTTCTTTCGCTTTGAAAAATGAATTTCACTGATATCTTCTAAATTATGGGATGAGAAGCCTTTCAACTACATCGTTACACTACTTCGTGCCATATGGGGTCGGTGCTGCTGCAAGGTTAGACTAATATCTACTATGTCCTGTATGACATTGACAAAGGGTTAATTTCATCTTCATCGATACTCGAATGGCACTGCTTTTTTTTTTTGCAGCACTCGGATTTCAAATGAACTAGGGGCAGGGAATCCACATTCGGCTCGGGTAGCCGTCAACGTCGTGATGATACTCGGAATTTCGGAAGCAATGATTGTGAGCATTACTCTGTTCAGTTGCCGCTATGTTTTCGGATATCTATACAGCAACGAGCCGGAGGTCATCGACTATGTTCGACAAATGATTCCCTTTATTTCTTTGTCCGTCATTGTGGACAGTTTACTAGCTGTTATTACTGGTGAGTCTCCAATTCGATCAGTTAATATGATCAACGACTCTTCACAGGTTTCTACATTTTCAAACAATCAGACAATAACTCGAGTTCTTTGCGTGTGACAGGCGTTGCAAGAGGAACCGGGTGGCAGCACATCGGAGCGTATGTGAACCTTGGGGCATACTACCTTGTTGGAATCCCAGTTGCCGTCCTGTTGTGTTTTGGTCTGCACTTGAGGGGAGAGGGACTTTGGATTGGAATATTGACGGGATCTTCTTTACAATTACTTCTGCTAGGTTTAGTTACTAGTTTCACCAATTGGCAAAAACAGGTTTGTATTTTGCACTCTCCTTTTATGTGCAATTTTAATGTTACTGTTAAACTGAGTGAGATTTTGTTATGGATATTGTAGGCAAGCAAAGCACAAGAGAGAATGTGTGAGGAGAAAGTTTCCTATGGATTATTAGCTTGAGAAGGAGCATGAAGTGGATTTAGTTATACATTTTGTGCTTAGTTATAAAACCTACTAATCACCATGTTTATAAAGTATGAAGTTGGTCATCGTTTTGTCCACCCTTGAACCCAATAATGCATGTTCAATTTTTAGAAAAAGGTTTCCTAATAGTTCCCGAGTATACATATTTCAAATGAATATACATTAAGCCATGAATATAAAATCTTATGTTAAAGAGTAAATATATAAAATTTGAGAGTAATAATAATATATTATCAGTAAATAAATATAAAAACATTTCAATTATATAAAAAATTATTTTTTTTAGAAAAATGTCGTTTAGATCAACCCCTTAAACCATCATGTGTGCATGACTTTTTTAATAAAGGTTTCCCAATGCATGTTTTTTGGTCAATTTCATCACGACTTCGAGAGTATTTGTTAACACATGAAAAACAAAGTACATGAACCAAAATTTTTGAGAATATACGATTACAATCAAAGAGAAGTTTGACTTTTAAGCCATAAAAACATAGTAGAGTGAACGCCTGCTTATAAGTAATATGTCAAAATAATGAAAAGGTTAATCTAACCCATTAGCCACCAAACTGTTAACGTATCCTGTTTTGGTCACCAAATTAAAAATCTTACAACTGTAGTCACTAATGCTACACTTTAGCTTCAATTTAGTCCCTGACCATTAAATTGATAACAAAGAAGTTGACTTGACGGAATTTTAATTGGTATAATTATGTACTTAGTTCTAAATACTTATAATTTTTTCAATTCTTAATTTAACTAATTTAGCTTCATCTACAAATTCTATCAATTTGACCCACTATATTTACACATCTAATTCTCATATGGGTCTCTAAAAAAATGATCTAACCGACCCAATTTGTAAATCCGTTGATCAAATCTGAAAATTCAAATATTCGATATGTTATTGATTTTCGGATAATTCAATAGAATATCCAAAAACAATGGATAATTTGATAGATATGGATCACCTAAATTTTAACTATCCCAAAATCTAATAAATATTGGGCCTTCAACCCATTAAGTAACTGGGCCATTAACAGATGTCGTAGACTATCACAAATCGAAACCCTAGTCGAAATACGTCATTCTTTACTTTCAGTTGTTTGTTTCCAATTCGTACATTTTTTTTAATCAATTTATCTGGAAAATATTTTAATTATACAAATTTCTAATTGTTCAATCAAGGATCAACAAGAGTTTCGATTCACGCTTCTACTTCTTTATCAAAAGTCCTTGCATTTTACTGCGAGTTTCCATCTTTGCTTTTAATTTTGCTTTGCTCACTCATTGCTTGTTTGGTTCCCGAGAAATTATATCAAAGAAAGTAAACAATGAAATTTTATGTAAGTTCATACTATTGGGATCGGGATCGATTATCAAAATCAAATCTAATTAGCAAGCCAAAAAGCAGCCAGATAGATTTATCGGAATATTAAATTATTGTTTGGTTCGAGTATCAAGCAAAGTCTTCTCAACTTTGAATGAAACTTTCTCATTAAATTTACTTATAAATATTAATCTAAAATAATATTTTCCTTTTGCTTAGCGAAAGGAAAAGAAAGGCAGTAAGGCAAAGGAACAGATTCCTCCCAACGGGATAACATTGAGGCATCATCATACTTTGTAATTTCTTTTTTTCCTTTAGAAAAAAGAGTTCATCTTTATCAACTAAAATACACTAAATTTAGATAAAATTAAACTTTTAATCGACATCCCCCCCCCCCCCAAAAAAAGCATGTGTATGTATATAGTAGCTAAATGAATTTTATTTCTCAAGAATTGTGATTCTTGAGTATGAAAATCAATATATTCATGGACGTAGATCAACACTCCCCTTCAGTATGTATAACATCAATATAAATGATTATATTTTAGTAAAACAAATCTGAGATGAAAAACAGCTAATCAAATAATATCATAAGCCAGAACTAATTAAAGGAAACCAGAATTTAATGCCTTCTTCCGTATATATGAATACAGATCCGAAAGAAGCAAGAGAGGTGTGTTGTAAGGAAAGGGAAAAGCCTCTGGGAATCATAGGAATTGGAGGCCTTGGGAAGAATTTATGGCGGATCATCCTTCTTCCCAAAGACGCCATTCCTATTATTACCAGAAACTTCATCTTCCTTTCCTACTCCTCTCATCATTCTATTATCTTCTTCTCCGATTCTCTGTTCTTTACAAGTAGAAAGAACACCGAAACTCAGATGAGACGACAATCTATCAAATTAGGGTTAAACAATGAGGATGACTATTTTGTACCACTATATATCAGGCTGGGATACGGCCTAGTTGTCTACAATCAGATTGGGCCTCATCTGATTCTGCCCGTTAACATTTTTTCCGGTTCAAATAATTATAAAATATCACAAATTATTTTTATATTACACCTACATATTTTTATTTGAATCAATCTCTATAATAGAGGGACATAACAAACAGTTTTATTAGATAGAAAATTATACGCATAAAAGATTACAAGTGATTGATGGTTATATAAGCAGCAATAATAAAGGCTAACCGAAAGACACCAAACACATGCAACAAAAACAACATTTGAACCATGGAATGCAGCTGTGTAGGACATTTTCACCCGGCATTTCGTTATTGATCATGGATTCAGAAAAGGAATTAGGTCACGCAAAACATTTCTTTACGACGTTGCAATATCATATTTGAAAATTTAATATAATATTACTACTTGAGGTGGAAGTTGAATGGTGCCAACACTCATCATCTTAACCTATCAATCTCGTATCCTTTACACGTCGTTTTCTTCTTGTTTTACATAGTTTCTGAAACAGATGCAAAATCCCATCATAAACATCACAACTGGAGCTAGGCTTATCACCATATCAGCCGCATATCAATGATGCCGACCCATGCATTTCAGCTCCCTAGAAAATCCACTCATTTCGGTATATTATCATATTTATACAATAAGTTACATTTATGCAACTTTTATCTGTCTATCTATCTATCTATCTAGTGAAATTAAGTCGGTGTGTTTGAACACTCCTAATGTAATTATAATTTTAGTGCGGTGTAATTACATGAAATTTAAATTTTGTTGATCGTATTTTAAAAATCATTTTATAATGGAATAAAAATATATAATTAGGTGTAATTATATAATTGCGATGTATATCGTCATAATTTTTTTATATCAAATTGTGACAATTGGAAGCTTACATTCTTCAAATTATAAAGGAGAGGTAAGTATTAATGTAATTATATAAATAATTATTCTTTTTAATTTTATCATTAATATTATTTTAAATGTCTAGAAAATTAGAATTCATTACTAGAGTAGTAATTACATGGATGTCTAAACCCACATTAAATATATAAATATATATTTTATGATTCTAATATGATTACAAGGTACTACTTATATCCGATTTCAAATATGGATAAACACCTACACATTTATAGATAAAATTTCTCGAATTCAAATTATTTAGAGGGAATAACTTTTCTTTTATCATTGAAACTGCTATTTAGGTTCTAAATATATATATTTGCTTGATAAAATGTAACTATATTTTAATTCCTTAGGCTATGTTTGATAGTACTAATTGTAATTCCATAATTTTTATATTAAAATTTTAAATAAAATTAGTAATAAAGTGCATCAATTCTCACCCCTAAGTATAAAAAAATGTGATTGAAGATCTCCAATTGCATTTAATTTTATGAGATCTATAAATAATGATAATAGATCGGAAGAGAGAAATAATATTAATAATATATAGAATGTTGATGTCACTCTCGACGAGCACTGATGAACATTGTTAATGATAAGTACTATTAAATTAATTTATCAAACGTTAAATTATAAAGTATTAAACGTATAATTATAAATTAGTTAAAAATATAAATATAATTTACTTAAAATACAATATTTATAGAACATTAGTTATTAGGGTAAACTATACCATTGACCACCTAACTATTTATCCCTTTTACTTTAAGCACCGATTTCTCAATTTTTTCAATCGGGTCACCTAACTATTTAAATCTTGTCAATCAAGCCACCTGCCATTAAATATTAATGGAGGAGATGACATGACAATTAATAAAATTTATATAATTACACATTTAGTCCTCATTGCTTACACATTCTATTAATTTGGTCATAACTTTTATTTAATTCAATAAATTTAATCCTCACAAATTTGAACTTGAGACGCAAGTCAAAAAATTGAGCACCCTAACCACTAAGTTGGACCACTAAAATCATCTAGTTTGCAGAACATAAACTATATAATTTATAATATAGTTAATGGTAATAAATGACCTTATAAGGACCCAAACATGAAATAATTGAAAAGTATGAAAATATAAAAAATATATAAACAAATATTATAATTGATTAATAAATAAATATGTTTATTTATATTTTAAATCACATTTGATGCAAACATTAAAATAAAAGTGAATTTAATATGTTATAATTGAAATGTATCATTTTACATATTACATATTAATAAATTGTCTTCATTATTCTAATTTTATTGAACTGAAATGTATCATAACTTATATTTTAAAATATTATAACATCGATCGAATTCTAATCTTATTTAACAACTCTATATTAAAATAGACTAATTCAATAAAATCAAGTTTCCCCTACATTTTTCTTTAAATATATAATGAATAAATAATAAAATATAAAATTCTTACTCTAACCGAGATATAAACAAGTCAATGCATAAGTTAAAATACTTACTATGATAAGGTCTCAACTATCAGGAAAATTCTAAATCAATGAAGCTCTTCGTTATATTTCAACTATAATATATTAAAATTAGTTTTTCATTAAAATGATTTAAAATATAAATAAAATACATTCACATATTAATTAGTTATAATATTTGTGTGTGTGTATATATCATATTATCTTATTATTCAATTATTCCATGTTGGAATTCTTATAATTAGACCATTTTCTCTTTTCTTATTGCCATTAACTATATATATTATGTTGTGATAGATTTGTCATCTGAATAGTGCAGCCTAGTGGTTGGGGCGTTTGCTTAATCTTCTCACGTCTTGGTTTCAAACCCCACCAACAGTGGTTATTGATTCAATTTATTTTCTATTCATTCATTCAATTGATTTTTTCTATTCACCATCTGATTAAGGATTAAATTTATTGAATTAATTAAAAGTTAGGACCAAACTATTAGAATGTGTAAGTAATGAGGACTAAACGTGTAATTATACAAATTTTATTAACTATCATGTCATGTCCTCCGTTAATATTTAACAATAGGTGGCTTGATTGAAAAAATTTAAATAGTTAGGTGACTTGTTTGAAAAAATTGAAAAATTAGTGATTAAAGTAAAATGAGTATATAGTTAGGTGGTCAATGATATAATTTACCTTAAAAACTAATGTTTTATAAATATGATATTTTAATTAAATTACATTTAAATTTTTAACTAATTTATAATTATATATTTAGTACTTTATAATTTAACGTTTTATAAATCAATTTAATGATGCTAATCGTTAACGGTGCTCATCCATGTTCGACGAATATTATAGATTTTTTCTAATATATACGTGTAATTATACCAGAAAGAGAAAGATAAATTTTTATTTTATTTTATTTTATTGGCATGCATTACAGATAAAATCTCTTATAAACAATTCCCTCGCATAACGTACAACCAATAAAACAGTTCCTTTCACACATAAATTCCACTGATCACTAAATATTACTGCACTATAATTACGACATTGCAGGCTTATTATTTTCCCATGGTATCAAATCTTCGAATTCAGATATTTACATTAATTCTATACTTGAATAATAAGAATTAGGGCGAAATTAATAGTTGCTCTTGTTCCGTAAGGGAATGACGGAAGTGGCACCTATGACCGTACGGACAGGCCTCGCCTGAGAGAACCATCCAGCAAACCTGGGTCTTGTACCTGGGATGCCTGATAACCGGACGTAGCTCGGCGATACCATGGGCAAACTGGCAATGGTCTCCGTAAGGGCATGAGCCTGTCTCTTGCCATTTGTTGCATAGCTCCGTCTTCATCATTCCTTGATTGTATACCTCCATTTCAATGCCCTTCTCTCTTCTTTCCATCGATTCTACATACACTCGCGGCTGCATATTTCCAAAATTTTAAAGATTTATTTGGGATCAATTCATCCTAGAAAATACAAGAGAGACTCACCGTCACCGAGGGAGTTACGACTCTTTGCTGTTGCCCGTTCACCTGAAGATTATAACTACGTGACCTGAATGAAACGCTCTTCGGAAGGGAATTCTTCTTCCCTCTCTCCCATATTTTCTCCTTCAGATCCGGAAGTTTTTCGCATTGGAGGTTCCTGTTATTCATGGCAGCTCGAGACGACAGGCTCAATAGCTTGATCAACTCAGTATTGGCCACCCGAAGATCTATGTTCTCTATACGCAGCGTTTCAAGCTCTCCCATGAGAGCTTGTAGGCGAGAGAAGCAAAGGTCGAAGTGGTCGCTCAGTTGCTGACACTCGAGGATGAGACGAGCGTGGTTGAGGCGGTGTTCGGTGGCTACATTGTTCGATGCGAGCTTCAGGTCATCGGAGGAAGAGCAAGAGGAAGGGGTGACGGAAAGGGAGTGAGGGAGAGTAGAATTTGGTGAGAAAATGAATTTGTACATGGAAGAGAAGTCAGTGGTCAGATCTTGGTCATGATAATATTGAAGTGGAGACGGCGGTGACGATACATAGGTTCGGTTCTCCGCTGTGGCGGAGGTGGTGTTTAGATCGGAAGACGGAGATGTTGGTTTCTCCATGACGAAGACTTCGAAAATTTGACTCCCGACAAGGAAGCTCTCGAAACCGTTAGTGGTCTTAAATAAAGAATTTAGAATTAATTAGCAGTTGGCGTAGAAGGAAGAAAAGGTGAGAAATAATAAGAATAAAAATAAGACATATTTATATTGGAATTTTAGTGCAGAGGTGAGTGGGGAAAAAGGTGTTTTGGTCGTGGGAATGGTTGGCGTGGTATGAAAGAATGTGAGTTGGACAACAAATGGTGGCACCAATTTTCTTTTATTCCATAATTCCTCTATTTATAACAATTTGTGTTATATAAATTTACAGATTCATATATATATATATATATAAGTTTTTAAAACACCATCAATTTATAACAATTTGTGTTATATAAATTTACAGATTCATTTATCAAAAAGAAATTGAGAGATTCATATATATATATATATATATATATTCATATTTTCAATATTTTAATTAAGATTCATAGATGAAGTTAAAATGATAACAAATTAAAGGATTAAAATAATGAGAAGTGTGGTATATTTTTTAATTCTTGAATTATAACAAGTGTATTTATCACGAGTATACTATTATTTGAATAAAATTCTTCACCAACAATACACCAAATAATTAATATGAATTTTCTCTCTGGTGGGGTATGATCATTTTCAGTTACCAGTTTATCTACTGTCATGAGTAAGCTGAGATTAAGAGATGGTCTTTGTGAAGTAATATTTAGGTAAGATTAATGATTATTATATTTTGTTGCTTCCATTTCACAACTTTAACTAACCATGGACCTCTCCAATCAAAGATATGTCGCCTAATATAACCAACAACCACTACTGTTATATTTCCCCATTTTTTAATAAAATAATATATTGACATATTTGGATGAATTTCTTCTAAATTAATCACAAATGCAATGTAGTCATCACACGAGTTAGTTGGCTTGATACTTTTCTTTTATTCATAATATATTTCTCATCAACACATTAAACAATATTTTTTTCGAATATTCTAAAATTATTGCTTACTAATTAAATTTATTTGATACATTGGCAATATATATTTTAACTTTATAATTATGGACATACAAATTTTTTTTTTTAAAATTTGATCAATATATTATTAATTATCCATATGAGTAAAAACATTTGGTTGGTTGTTCAAATAGCTCATCTTATTCTCTCAAATTCTCATAGGTCATGACTTCGAGTCTCACTATGGGCACTCCCTTTCCTCTCCCCTCAAGTTAGAATTAAGATTAGATTTAGAATTTATATAAAAAAAAGTATTCATACAATATTATTATAAGATTAATTTGAATGTTATTTATTTCAGTAGCTTATGCTTAATTGTGTTTCATTTCTTGAACGATGGCCAAATGATGAAGCCGTGTTTCTGTTGCGTGATTATTATTATATTAACTAATTAATTAATTAATGACAATTGAGGCGTCGTTATCGGATGGTGTTGTATTTAATGAACTAAAATTGATTTTGATGAGATCAGGCGTTGGTTGGTCAATTCTTGCGTCGATAGCTTCCGACAACAAACCCATATTTTATGTAGAAAAGAAGGATGCCACGAGAATCATTTTTGCGTTATATTATTCACAATTTAGTAAGAAATGAGTGAATGAATGATTAATTAATTGAAGATTCTTTACTATAAATATAAATAAAGTACGAATGTATGAAGCCAGAATGAAAAGATTCTTGTAGAAATTAGAATGGTGCATGTAATATTGGCAGTTCACTGGTCTTTGTCAGCTTTCATCAATGAATCGACTTGGAGTGTCTGCCAAATTAACTTAATATCCATTAATTAATTCCAGATGATGTTTATTTAATTATGTTACCGATCTATCTATACTTTAGATCTTCGGATTGTAAATTGACCGACACTTACAAATATTGAAGATAGATTGCGCATAAATTATGGTGATGATAATTTGTCAACGAACCATTATTATTATATATACTTTTATGTTACTGTTGACGATATTTATTTGAATTTTAATAATTTTTTAGTATGATCATTTTTTATACTTAAATAGTTTGTGCACTTTAATGAAAATTTCCATTTTATAGATTTTATCTTTGATAGAATCAATATATTGTATCTTAGTGATTATAATTGATCTTATGTGATGGATATGATCTGCTGGTGATTATGAATGAAGACTGAATACTTATATTGGTTCTATCCACATCCTACAACCAATTTGAATATTGAAACTTAGTTGCAAGTAGATGCAATTGTTTTAGGTTTGGGTATTGAGAAATGTATTGTTTTACACTTATTTTGTTTACTTAAAAGCTGTTGTTAGAGTGTTTTTGTTTGAACTTTACATATTACTTTTATCAGTGTGGCATAATTTTCATTTTAGAACACATTAAGGGAGAGTAAACTTGATTATTTGTATAAGAGTGTGCATACAACAGAGAGAAATTGAAGTTATTTAGCATCTCTAATTTGATCTAGTCGTAAATCGAGTCAAATATATCACAAAAGGCAGATGAAATTGAAATTTAATCAAATTCAAAGTTAAATCGAACAATTAATCAACCAATCTTTAAAGATCCCATGTTCGAGCACCAAAGACTACAAGTGTGTTTCAGCTTTCATTGTCAAATGATTGAGAATCTTTAAAACAGACACTACATTATAATCACCCTAGATTAATAAAAAATAAATAAAAATCAACCAATCATTCATCACATGCATAAATCCAAGATTGAGACGTTTAATAAGAAGTAAAGGGTTTAAATTAAATTGAAGTATTAAAACACAAGGGAGGTAGAGAATGGAATAAGAGGATCCAACTGCCTGTTTTAGAATATTTGTCCTTGAAGAGTGAAAAGGCATGTTGGGTTTCTATTTATTTTAACAAAACAAAAGGCATAACGGGGAATTTTTGTTTTTGATTTTTTCAGTCTGTTCAGTACTCGCATCACATCTAGTCAATAGGAGAAACACAAGGAAAGCTCTGCTACTTTATTGTTATTAGCTATACAAAAGTATAGCTATGCCTATCCAGCTCAAGAGATGTGCATATATACCTATTCCTCATTTACATACATCAAACTCACCGAGCTAGCTCTTCCCTGATTCCATATCTCCCATCGTTGAATTCGCTTCACGTGCTAAATGCATTCCCATAAATCCATTATCGCTCTGTCCTTGTTGGTTCAAAATCTGACTCTCTCCTGCAAGATTCCCAGCATTGGCTGTGTTTGTTGTATTTGCAATCGACTCCTCCAATACTCGAAAATATGCAAAAGTCCCCCAACCTACAAATAATTTTGAGCAACAGTTCAGATAAATCTGGATTGCTAATATTATATGGGAACAATGCATCAATCATCGATATCAAGAGTGACACCCCATGTTACACAGACTCAGGTGAGTATCAGATATGGGTACACGTCTAACAGGGGTAAGCTCAACTTTCTAATGCTTTTCCTGATGCTACCGAATTTTTACATCGACCATGTATTGAAAATTTCAGTCTGAGATTCACAAGCCAATGTGTTCCACTTTTACTCCAAAAAGGAGGAGATGCTACGACACATTGTAGAATCAGCTTTACAATAAGGAAAAAAAGGAAAGAGTTTGGGAGCATACCATTCGCATCATATGGTGGTGGGAAGAACTGCAAATAGCAAAATGTAGACACTACGAGCCCTACAAAGGATAGCCTTAAGAAAGTAAATAGAGCAGGTCATGAATGAAAACAACTCCATAGTATGAGCAATACCAACCTAAGAGACCTCCAGCAAAGACATCCTGCCAGTGGTGCCAATAATCATCGACTCGAGAAATGCCCACAAGCGATGCAACCAACAAAGGGAGAAAAACAACGCATAGTTTTGCAACATGTCCTCTGCGGTCAAATACTTTGATTTTTCCTGACAAGTAAAGTGAAAGAAACCCCAGACCAGCAAAAGGACCCTAGAGATGAGTCCAAAAATTAGAGTGTGAAAATGACTAAACGAAGAATTGAGGAGTATTATAACAATCTGAAAATATTCATTATCTCAACAAATATGAACATTAATTGCCAGTACAAGAGGAACTTACCAGAGGTGTGTCCACTTGGAAAGCTTTTATGCCCTTCCTTAATGACATTTTTATCGCCATGACAGATGACATTTCCCCATTTATCATATGCCTGTGAAGCAACTAAGTTGAGTTTCTTTCTATAAACATTGACATTACAAAAAAGTCAAGGTACTAGTGGAAGTTTATATTCCCAGAATATCATGTCTAGAGAGGCATACATCTTTCCATCTGGAAAACAGCGCCAAAAGAAGTCCGGCCGAGGCCGTCCAACAGCATTTTTTATCGACTCAGTAATAACAGCCGTCACTAGAACAGAGAATAAGAGGCCTGCATTAGCAAACTAATTTTAGTAATCACTTTAAAGTTATGATACTCCTTTTAAACCATGCTGAAGAAAATTTTGTCGATAAAACAGAGAAATATCCAAAAGTTACACTTACCTAGTACCGCATGATGAAGATCATAAACATCCCTCCTACGGATGTACACAATGACAAAAATCAGCATTGGCAACAGAATTGCATACATCTAAATACCAGGGGGCAAGAAAGAACAAGAGCGTGTGAGGGGGGGTTAACTAATACAGAAAATAAGAACTTCACTCTAAAAGCAAGACAAACAAAAATTACCGGCACAGCCCAAACAGGAACCGTATTACTTTTCAAGGGGTATCTTAGATCTTCCATCATATCCTTCCCAACAAAACGATAAAATGGATGAATAATATAGAGGACAACCTCTATCACCACAAGCAACAGAAGAATAAGCCAATCATGCATGTGTGTCCTTGCAACTGCTGCACCATGGGACCTTATAGTATGTGAACCAAGATGGACTTCTTGCATTTTGTACTGTTCAACAAATATGAAAAGAGCCACGTCAGGCTATGTATTATAGGATCTGACGCACGATAAGGAAATTGACTACAACCAACACAGGATGCAAAATCCCCCAGTAAACAAGAAAAATAACAAAACTTAAATTCCACCAGAAACAATGAATGCCGATTTAAAGTTGGGAAGATGAACTCCTGACACAAGCACATGATTAGCTCAGATAACCAAACAATTTGAATTTGACATTACTAGTTTTAACCAAGGATTGATAGGTGATACATTTTTCTCAAGGGATAATACAGAAGAAGCATAAGCAACCATATACCAAGAAAATAACTGGAATGAAAAAAATTCTTGACATCTTTATATGCTTCATCATAGAAATTTGATAGGAATACAGCCTTAGAAGATTAACTTCTGGTTTATATACTGCATCCCCGCTCCCAAGAAAAGGGTTGATGAAAAGCATGTCAAGGAAAGTCACTTGAACATTTCAATTCCAGCATCCAACAAGATGAAGACAAAAATCAACACATCAGGTCATTGCCATCTCAATATTCAAACTACATTCAGTTAAAAAAAAATGCCTAATTTTCATCAGTCTCTTCTGGAAGAGACATTTACAGCCAATATACACCTATATCCTACTAGATTTGCATGCTTGAATATTCCGATATGTTAAGGTCAAAGAAAAGTCATGTTTATCCAAATGTAAAAGAAAAAATAATACCTCTTTATTCCCCTGTTCTATCAATGGAAGGTCAAGGGATGACAAACAATGACTAGCACTTGCAGAATTCTCCACCCTCTTGCTTGATAAATCCTAGACAACAACCATCCAGTTTTCAGGGATGAAATATGAACCACCCTCCCCATCCCAGCCCCTTCAACCCCAAACACACAAGATGCGCTGCACCTTCACACCTTGAATTAGGAAAGTTCGTGTTCAGGTTTATATTTCCTGTTTCTAACTTCTCAAATGATTCTTGAGCTTAAGAGAAGATAGTATAGAATGGCTGAGCAGATCATAGCCGACATAAATGTATGATTTTTTTAAATGCATTTTCTTACAACCAAGAAATCAGTCCAGGGATAGAACAAACAATAAATAAACAACAAGGGTAAATATTACATTATATTCAGATTTTGTCTCTTAAGTTAAATTGAATGGCGGAGATATTTAGTTGGCAAGCAAAAACCTATCAAAATAATAAATTTATGTTTGAGGCACTAGAATGGCAGCGATCAGCACGATCGATGAAGAATATAAAGAATGGGGACTATTTTAACTCAACCAAATAGTCCAACCATACTTTCCCATTCCCTGATTAACACAGAAAGCATAAAACTCATGAGATGGATGGCTTCTACATATGAAAGACAATACCTAAATTCCCAATTCAATATGGTTTGAATATACCATGAAACAATCAATAACAAATTCTCATAGTAAATAACCAACTAAACCATCACTCATCCTAGGATCTCCGGTATACATCGGCACAAAGTAACATGTCAGCATCAAAGATGATATATAATTTTTTTTTAAAAGAAGGTCATGTCCAATCTTTAGTTAATCTTAAGAGAAGATCCTAGAAATGATTGATAGAGATGTGCATTTCAACCAAAGATTTCTTCAGTCTTATCTGAACAGAGCAAATAAACTAACTGAAATTTGTATGCAAAAAAAAAAAAAACCTTACTAACAAGAATTGATTAATTAACCTCCACCTCCACGATCAATTTCTGTCAACAAAACAAAAGCCCAAAACCCATATAATGCACCATCAAATAATCAGAATCTAACAACTGATATCCTTTGCGAAAGACGGTGAAAGTTTGGTCAGGATTCAGGAAATGTTCCACAAAAAGCACAATCTCATTCCAAGTAATTATGTGAAGTTATTGTAAGTTGTTATAACTAAATTCCGATTTCATTTCAAAAACTTAGTGCGGTGAAACTCATGGTGATAGGTACTGAAACCTGTATGAATTAGAAAACCATCATTCTTTAGTTTCAGAAGGTATAACACTTCTAACATGATGAAATACTCTCACAGACAATAAGAAGAACACAGTCCAGACACTATGATCCACAGATTCCAAGGTGTAGATGCCAATAATAGAAACTAGAATACACACCATAATCACTCACAAATCAAAATGATTCATTATGACTAATGTTCTGCAAAACTAAAGGCATAAACCAATTATATAGGAATAGTGGAAATACAAGGAAAACAACCAGATCACAGAAACAGAACACTAAGAACATAATAACTGTGAAAAAAGGGGGAAACCCATTGAATGAACATTGTCAGCTATACGCAAAGTAATTATAAATCCCACTAACCTGAAAAATACCCTGAAATTCTTAAACCATAAAAGAAAAGCCGAGTTCCAGGAAGCCATGGGCCAAAAACTAATTAAAAAAACACAGCAGCACCCAGAACAGATGCAGAAAATAACTGGGTTTTGTACAGTAAGAATAAACATATATCTAAAAATGCAAAGAACCCACAAAAAAAGTCAAAAAGATGAAAACGATTCAAGTTCTTGTGCAGTTCACACACCCAAGTAGACACAAAAGCAAAATATCCTCATCCTCAATAATTCTGATTAAAAAGGGACAAAGTAGAGGTAAAAAGTGAAGTAGTGATGACAAAAGTGACTGAAATATGAGAAAAGAGTTTACCTCGGAGCTTTTGGGGTTTTCAAAAAGAAAGGAAGCTGTTCCAGCAGGCGGCGACCGATTAAAGTAATTGCTTTTTCTAAACTAAAAGAATATATACAAAATAAATAGTTTTATTTTTTTAATTTAATAAAAGTGAATTATTTATTTTAAATATATAAAATGGGATTGTTGGTAAGATTTTAATCTTGATTTTTGCTAATAAATATACACCTAACTAAATCAATTTATGTTGACAAATAAAAATGATAAATTATATCATTAAACTATATTTAAAGAAATCGTTTTAAATTTTTTAAAAATAATTATTAAATTTATTAAATTATTATATAATAATCATTAAATTTTATAAAACTATTAAAATATCATTAAATTAGAGTTAATTGTTATAAAATAATAATTAAATTTATCAAAATTTTACACTCATTATAATATCATAATAATTATCTCATAATAATTTAAAAGACATTTTATGACTTATAGAAATTTAATAATCAAAATAATTATTTACATATAAATTAATGACTTTTAATGTATTTTAAATTTAATTATTAGGTGAATAGTATCAAACAAGACCTGGTAAAGTTGACAAACCTTGACGTCATAAGACTTTGAGAATCCATTATTGGTTCAACTTCTATATATTGCATAAAAATCTTTAGATTCTATTTTAGTTTAAATTTTATTGTATAAGATTTATCTTTAGATATACTTCAATTATTAGAGGAATAATAATTTATAATGATTAATTTTAATTTTAATATGTTTAAATATATATTATTTAATCTAATTATTATTTATAAATATCAATTCTATTTATAGTCTATTTATGTATTTATTACTTAAGATTGTAATTGTACATCCTATTTATAACTTCAAAACAAAATTATTGAGCAATTAATAAACAATTAAAATATAAAATAGTTTTTAAAGGTTTAATTCATGTTTTCATATCTATATCGTATAGTTTTCCATTTTAATTTGAAATTTCTTTCCATTGGGACATAAAGTTAATATTCGTCTCAGATTGGCTGCTAAAATTATCTTTCATTGTTAATGGCGTTATAAAACTGCGTAAACTACACATTTAATATCTAAATTTATTTTAGTATCAAAACTTTCATTTATTTTAAAACCATACCTAGCAAGTTAGAGCGATTAAATTATGAGTAATTTGAAAAATTAAAGAAATTAAAATTCAATGACCAAAATAAGAGTGAGAAGACATCTGAATGGAGGATGATGTAATTGTTGAAAGCATGCACCGAAAGTGCATTTAGCAAGGTTGGAAAAAAAATGAAATTTTCAACAATGGTACGCACCAAGTATAAAATGTCAAAATTAGGTGCAACAATGGTTGAAAACTAAATGGGCAAATTACAAACTTTAGGCATTAAACTTTTAGGGTATTTTCAAGATTAGTCCTTAAAGCTTCTACTATAAATACCCTAGCTCATTTAGCTTCAAAACCATCCCAAAGCATTCTAGCTTTCTTCCAATACTAGAGAGATTTTAGAGAGTTTCTTGAGAGTTGTTTTCTCCTTTTTATCTAGAGAGAATTATCATTGTTTTCTCCTTGGTAGATCGAGAGAGGTTGTAATTCCTATTTTCTCATAGTGAAATTCTTCTACCGTTGCCCGTGGTTTTTACCCTAAATTTTTAGGGGTTTTCCACGTAAATTTTGTGTCTCTTTTATCTTCATTTTTATTTTCTCAAATTATCAGTTGCGATTTTGCTCTATCCGATAGCTATCTTCCGCAACAATTGGTATTGGAGCTAGATTAGAGTGTGTAATATTTGCTTATTGTGTTTGTGGTTGCCACCAAAAAGGTGGATCCTCCAACATAAGAAAGTAAGAAGTTATTACCCATTCTTTGAAGGTTCTAGAGAACTATTCACGATAGTGAAATAGTGGGAGCTATCCGTAAACGAAGCAATGGCAACGAAATTTGATATTGAAAAGTTCAATGGGAGAAATTTCTCATTGTGGAAATTGAAGATGAATGCCATCCTGAGGAAAGACGGTTGTCTAGCAGCTATCAGCGAAAGGCCAGTAGACTTCACAGACGACAACAAATGGATCGAAATGGATGGAAATGCTATGGCAAACTTTCATCTAGCATTAGCAGATGAAGTATTGTCAAGTATTGAGGAGAATAAGACAACTAAGGAGATATGTGATCATCTCACCAAATTGTACGAGGTCATATCGTTGCACAATAAAATTTTCCTTAAGAGAAAATTGTACACTCTCCGTATGCCATAATCTACTTCAGTGACGGAGCACTTAAATACACTGAACACTTTATTTTCTCAGCTTACATCTTTAAGCTGTAAAATAGGAGAGCAAGAACGTGCTGAACTTCTACTTCAAAGTCTACCGGATTCGTATGATCAACTTGACAAACAGTAATGTCACCAGTCTAGTCTTCGATGACGTTGCAGCTGCTGTTCTACAAGAAGAAAATCGGCACAAGAACAAGTAAGACAGACAAGTAAATCTGCAACAAGCAGAAGCGTTGACAACGATGAGAGGGAGATCAACAGAACGTGGCTAAAGTAACAGTCACAAACATGGTAGATCGAAGTCGAGAAGCAAGAAGAATTTAAAGCGCTACAAATGTGGAAAGAAGGGTCACTTGAAGAAGGATTGTTGGAGTCTAAATAAAAACTCCAATCCACAATGCAATACTGCAAACACTTCAGATGATGAAGATGCTCTATGCTGTGAAGCGTCAACCACCGTGGAAGGAAGAAAACGATTTGCAGATATATGGCTCATTGATTCGGAAGTAACATATCACATGACCTCAAGAAGATAATGGTTCCATCATTATGAACCTGTCTCAGGAGGATCTGTTTATAGTTACAATGATCATGCCTTAGAGATCATTGGCGTGGGAACCATCAAATTGAAGATGTATGACGGAACAATTAAAGTTGTTCGAGATGTGCGGCACGTGAAAGGCCTGAAGAAAAATTTATTATCCTACGGATTGTTGGATAATAATGCAAGCAAGATTGAAACACGGAAATGAATCATGAAGGTGTTCCGTGGAGCGCTTGTGGTGCTAAAAGGCGAAAAAATAGCTGCAAACTTGTACATGCTGAAGGGAGAGACTTTGGTAGAAGCAGAAGCCTTTGTTGCCTCATGTAGTTCAGATTCGGCAATGCTATGACATCAGAAACTTGAACACATGTCAGAACAAGGAATGAAAGTTCTTGTGGAGCAAAAGCTACTTCCAGGCTTAACAAAAGTATCACTTACTTTGTGTGAGCATTGCATAACAAGTAAGCATCACCGGTTGAAATTCAACACGTCAAATTCTAGAGGCAAAAATGTTCTAGAATTAGTTCATTCTGACGTATGGCAAGCACCAGTTACATCCCTAGGTGGAGTAAAATACTTTGTCTCATTTATTGATGATTACTCTAGGAGATGTTGGGTGTATCCTATTAAGAAGAAGTCAGATGTGTTTTCAACTTTCAAAATCTTCAAAGCGCGGGTGGAACTTGATTCTGGAAATAAGATCAAGTGTTTCAGAACAGATAATGGAGGAGAATACACAAGCGAAGAATTTGATGACTTTTGCAGGAAAGAAGGCATCAAAAGACAGTTCACAGTGGCAAACACTCCTTAACAAAATGGAGTGGCAGAGCGGATGAACAGAACCTTGTTAGAAAGAACAAGAGCAATGTTGAGGGATGCAGGCCTAGAAAAATCATTCTGGGCAGAAGCAATCAATACTGCCTGTTATTTGGTGAATCGAGCTCCATCAACTGCAATAGAGCTGAAGACACCAATGGAGATGTGGACTGGTAAACCAGCTGATTATTCAAACCTCCATATATTTGGAAGTATTGTGTACGTGATGTACAACTCCCAAGAAATCTCAAAGCTGTATCCAAAATCCAGGAAATTCAAATTCTTGGGGTATGCTGATGGAGTCAAGGGGTATCGCTTGTGGGATCTCACTTCCCGCAAAGTGATCATCAGCAGGGATGTTATCTTTGTAGATGATACTCTACAAAGAAAAGAAGACGATGATAGCACTGAAAAGTCAGAGACTACATAGATAAATGTGGAAAAGGAGTTTGAACAAGGAGATTCTTCTGAAGCAGAACCAGCACATGATGAACAAGAATCAGAGAGTTCTGAAGTACCAACAACTCGTCAATCAGATCATGTGAGAAGACGTCCCAATTGACACTCAGATTATGTTATAGAAGGTAATATTGCATACTGCCTTTTAACAGAGGACGGTGAGCCATCAACATACCAGGAGGCAATAAACAACTCAGATGCTTCACTGTGGATGATGGCGATACAAGAAGAAATTGAAGCCCTTCATAAAAATAATACATGGGACCTTATGCCACTACCACAAGGAAGGAAGCCAATTGGTAACAAATGGGTCTTCAAAATCAAGTGAAATGGTGACGATCAAGTTGAGAGGTATCGTGCAAGACTGGTGGTCAAAGGATATGCTCAAAAAGAAGGTATTGATTTCAATGAATATTTCTCATGTGGTTCGACTAACAAGTTCGAGTAGTTTTGGCAATGTGTGCTACATTGGACTTACATCTAGAGCACTAGATGTTAAAACAACTTTTCTTCATGGAAATCTTGAAGAAGAAATTTATATACTCCAGCCTGAAGGTTTTGAAGAAAAGAAAATAAGAACTTGGTTTGCAGGTTGAACAATCTTTGTACGTCTAAAGCAGGCGCCGAGGGTTGGTATAAGAGATTTGATTCTTTCATTATGTGCCTTAGATACAACAGACTTAATACAGACCATTGTGCTATTT